ATAAAGACTTTGCAGCAAACTTGGCATTGATGATTCAAGGCCTACATCCCACAATGAAGACTTGAAGGTAAAGTGCTCCCTTGTGAAATTAATTTTCCTGCTATCAATTTTTTAAAAATTGATATTTTATTGATTTTTTTACAGAGAGGAAGGGAGAGGGATAGAGAATTAGAAACATCGATGAGAGAGACACATTGATCAGCTGCCTCCTGCACACTCCCTACTGGGGATGTGCCTGCAACCAAGGTACATGCCCTTGACTAGAATCAAACCTGGGACCCTTGAGTCATCAGGCCGATGCTCTATCCACTGAGCCAAACCGGTTAGGGAAATTAGGTCCCTTTTAATGTGTGCGAATTTCCTGTACCGGGCTACTAGTGTAATGATACTCTGGAAAACCACATAGAAAATTAAAATTGTGTTGCCTGACATTGTATAAGTGAATAAAATACATGACAAAGGAAAACATGGGTAAGAATAAACTTTATCTATCTATATAAATATGAAAATCAAATGAATGGTGGAACGACTGGCAGAATGACCGTCACTATATTGCGCAATAACCACCAGGGACCAGGTGCTCAATGCAGGAGCTGCCCCCAGCCCGCAGGCCCCAACCAGCAGCAGTGGCAGGGGGCAGGGTCTGCAAGTAGGCAGAGCCAGGCCAGTCAAGACGGGTGCAAGTGGGGGCCCCCTGATAGCCCCACCATTCACCCTGCAGAGGGAGACAACCAGTGAGGGTGGCGGTGGGTGGGGGCATGGGGCAGGGCTGGCAAGCAGGTGGCACCGGGCCAACTAAAGTGGGTGCAAGCAGGGGCACCGATCACCCCACCGGTTGCCCCACAGATTAGCCCAAATTTTGGCCAGGCTTAGGGACCCAAACCATGCACCAATTTCATGTACTGGGCCTCTATTAGTACTTATATTTTTAAATATGAATTTAAAAAATGCAGGAAAATTATTACTCACTAAATTCAATATAGAAGAAAGAATGTGATTAGTTGGAGAGAGATACAAAGAGAGCAATAAATTATAGGCATGGAATTTTTTTATTTAGCTGATTGATGAATACATAGTTTTATTATTTGTTATAACTTTTGCATGTCTAAAATGTAATATTTTATACAACTTTGGCTTTTAAAACCATTGTTTCTGCTAATGACCTCAGATTAGTGTTTCCAGGTATTACCTTACCCATTTTAGACATTCCTCACTTTCCTTAACATTCTTTTTTTTTAAATAATATATTTTATTGATTTTTTACAGAGAGGAAGGGAAAGGGATAGAGAGTTCGAAACATCAATGAGAGAGAAACATTGATCAGCTGCCTCCTGCACACTCCCTTCTGGGGATGTGCCCACAACCAAGGTACATGCCCTTGACTGGAATCAAACCTGGGACCCTTCAGTCCGTAGTCCGATGCTCTACCCAGTGAGCCAAACAAGCTAGGGCTCCTTAACATTCTTGACTGATATATTGCTTAAATCTCTTTCCAATGATTACATTATTGAAGATATTACCTCCCAATAATGGTATTTGTAAACTCTGTATTAATTTATCTCAGTGATGATCTATATTCTGCTTATGTAAGTATAGCCTTGGTTTTATAATACTTCTAAGCAACATTAATATATTTTACTTTAAAAAAAGATTCGGAAGTCATAAAAGTAAGCTTTCATTTTGATTTCCCCTTTTAGGGTTTGATTTTGGCAGGTTAATTTATTTCTGCAAATGTGGGTTTCCTTATCTTAAAAATGGATAGAGGTTTATGAAAAGAGATTCTGATGAGAATTATATCAAGTTAAAATACTAGTTAAATGAGACAATGTGTATAACACAGCTAACTCAGTGTCCAGAACAAATTGAAGGCTCAAAAATTAAATATTCCATCTTATTAATACAAATAAGTCTAAATATGCCTACATTTCTGACCACTCTGGAGGTTCTCACAAGGTCTTAGGATCAATATTATGACTCTTTGGTACATGAATATAATTCTATTAATGCTCAAGTTAGAAGAAGTTTGGGTAAGTATATACATATTGTTTATATGTACTGTTCAAAGATAACAAGACATATATAAATGTTTTAGTAATAAAAGTTAGGTGTGAAATAATTTTTTAAAACTTTTGTCAAAATAACTTTTCTAATACTAATTTAGAAAAACAAAGACATGAAAATTTTTAAAACAAATTAAAAGCCTGTGTGGTTTC